AAACGAAACAAGTGGTAAGAGTCCCAGCGAAGAAAAGGGACATGACTAGATTTGCTATTTCCTGATCGGAGGCTGCGTGTCGAGGCCAAACAAGATAAGGCCGAGTATGACCTGAAGGCGATCGATCGACAGCTCTGTGAGAATGAACCGGTTTATGTCAACTTACCTAACGAAAGGAACTGGCAGTCTGGAGATCTGCGCGAGGTTGCGGGACAAAATACGGAAGTGGCTCTACCAGACAGCAGGGTAGTCATTCGGCACAAGAACCATGTCCGTCCCCGCTCTGCCTCGTTTCCGCAAGTCAACGTACCGACAAGCTCGCCCACTGAGTTGAAAGGTACAGGATGCTAATCAACCGGAATCTCATCAATGTCCCCGATCAGACTGAGTACGCCAACGAGTCGATGGATACCGGCCTAGCTGGAATAGTTCCAAATAAAGCGAAAAGGAATGTAGGTTCTGCACCAACTAAGTCACTTGATTCCTATTGGCTGGATTCACCCGCGTCAGTACGTGCGTACTTAACGTCAAATTAACCACTAATCGGACTGAATTAAATTGTGTGAAGCGTTGTGTTTGTTGCTTGAATGATACACTGCGTACCGCTGAAACTGACGTGTTCTACTGCCTTGCACTTCGAGCCGAACACTGCGTGTTACTGAGTTGTAGTTTCACACAGTCCGAGCTGTAACACCTGGATTGGAGGAAGTAGTGGGTTAGTTGAAATGTGGAAGGAGAGAGTATGCTTACGAGAGGAAGAGCTTTCAGCGTTAGCATGTTTTCGCTTATCCAGCCAGCTCTGCAGTAGGTAAGGCGACAATTTTCGCTTCCACACCATTGCCAGACCACCGATGCCGCATGAGTTCTCAGTATTTGTGTATTTCACGGTTTGGGTTTGGACAGGAATACTCGATTCGGGCCTTCAGCCAAAGCCTTCGATAAAATGTGTACCGGAAAGGCAGAGGGCCGTGTGCCATGAATCAGTGAACAGACTCACGCGGAGTCGTGTGTCTTGGCTCTTAGCTAGTAGAAGGGTATAACCGAACTCCCACTCAGTGGTCGCCACGTGGAAGTATTCAGGGCATGAGTACTCGGCACAACATAGTGAGCAGGGGGTCAACGATCTATCATTATCTATCCACCACAAGCCTCCGTGAGCCATGGACTCTCGCCAACTGGATGGTAATTTCAATATAATACGCATACTTGTTAAGATAATAGAACACCAGTGTCACTCCAACAACCGCTGGCGCCACATACTTGTGACTTTCGTTAAGTCAATAAGCAAACGTGATGAATAAGGCAAGACAATATTACCATGCAGTGAAGTGCGGGAGACTAAAAATTTGAATTTCGAGCGCGTAGCAGAAGGGGGGTTATGGTAAGGTCACTGTGTAGTGTATGAGATCGATCAGTTAGTACCTTGCAGGAAAAATTAGTGCAAGCATCAAGATGTCTGAAAATGATCAAATCAACTAAAGAATATCTATACAAGCCGCGGCATCTAGAAATGTGCTTCGTCGATCGTACCAATAAGATGTAGTCTTTCTGAAGCAGTCAGGGGGAGATGACAGGGAAACAATATAGTCAATGAGGGATAATGCATGGCGTCACAAACTTAGATATTAAGGAACGGAGCACTGAAAGCACCCTAAGTCAGAGAGAATAAAAAGAAAGTTGTGAAAAGTTTCTCAGGCATGCGTGTTCGACAAAGCGTTTTGGGAAAAAATGATACCGAGGTACTCGACAGTGGATGATCTGGGTATGGGATTTCGTTCACAGTTAGGTTGTGGGAAGGTATCTCTGAGGGACTGAGCTCACAGCCACGAAGAATAGAAACTACTACGACACTGCACCTAGAAATGTTAAGAGTAATGGATCCGAATAAAGATCACTCCACCAGATTTACTAATCCACACTGAACAGATAAGGAATCCTGAATAGTGGGTGGCATACATCCAAGCACAACATCTTCAGCGTATTTACATCCTATAAGTGTTGTCCTTTTATTGTAACCAATATCTAAGGAAAGTAGAAAAGGTGATAAGATCTCTCCATGCAATACATCACAGTAGGCACAGAGAACAGAGGATTTCTTACCGGTTGACTTGGTAAAGTACGATCCGTAGATAGTCACGCAACAGATTACACACATCCGGGTAAACTATACCTTCGGGTAGCAGCTTCGGCAACATTGACCCCCCCCCAGGCTACCATTTGCATTCGAATAAATAAGGAAAAGAAGCCGCACGGATTGGCATTTTTGGTCTAATGCACGCTGTTTAGAATGAACAGGATATGTCACTGCATCCTACATAGAGCGCTGGTGTCTGTCTGCGAACTGGTAGATATCTTCCTCTAAAGTGGCTGTAACAATCCTCAGAATTAACATTTTTTCGGAAACACTGATGTACCCACAATCGGTTGATTCTTCTGAGATCCATTTTGGTGTACTAGGGTTATACTGGCCGACCTCCAAATGTCCGAGATCACCCTCTTATTGACCCTTTTTGTTAAAGAGATCTGTCGTAGGTGGTGTGATAGAATCAACACACCCTTTCAAAACTAATGGTAAGAGATCATCCGGACTACTAGTTTTGTTTGACTTTAATTTTTTTTTACTTCCTTGTGAACGTTGCTTAGATCGAAGGGCGCAACTGGATTTGAGGCGGAACTAGACTCGGAATTCAGTTAGTCCACATCCACTTCAGCGCTCTGGCTCCCGACGCTCTTGTCACAGAGCTGCCTCAAAAGCCTTCATAGATCTCAACAGTTATCGTTGCCTGGATCGCTTCGACTTATAGTCTCTTTATCTCAGATTTACTTACTTAAGCTCTTGACACGAGTAGCAATCTTACACCTGCAAGCCTTTTCTTTCATCTTTCGAAGTCGCTTTACGAATGGCGATGAACATCTATCCGACGTTAGATAGATCGTTTCAACAGAGCAAAGCATATCAAAGCACTATTGGATGTAGCCTGTAAGGTGGCCACATTGAAGCGACAGATTCTTGCCGTTGAAGACTGAAAAATCAGTTAAAGAAAACATCGTCTCGAGTCCTGGGCTACTTCAATTTCGCCGTTTGATAATCTTGTAAGGGCGTCTAGTCAGCGTGAAGTTAGATGTACTATATATGCTCGGACACAATTTTGGAGCATGCTCTGAGCTCCTCAAAGGGGCCCGTTTTTGTATGGAAAACAACTGCTGTTTGTTTGTGTATAGAGCGTCCAACTGGGTATCTTGTCTGGTCAAAAAGGTCACTAGGTCAATCAGGCGGTGTCCTTAGGAATGTTGTGTCCTTTCTATCAAAGTCGTCAGTGAAAATGCAGATGTGTCAGGAGTAATGTAGAGTTTTCCAGTGATGATCGACTGAAAGCCACTTAGTAACTACGGTTAGCATTAATTAAGTAACAGCTTGGAGAAGTCGTTGAGCATGTGAATAGTACTGTTGATGAACTGCACTAACGTTGATTAACGTAAGTTGTAACGCCACCATCACGAAACTGGGGCTTACAAGGGCGGCCAGACCAGTTGGGAAAATAACCATCGAGTTGAATAACCCCCTTTTTCACATCAGTATGTAACCAACTCACTTGTAACCGAATGATTCCTGTATTTACATCCTGCTTCCGTTGCATAAGAGCACCCTTCTGCCATGAAGCTAGCGCACATTACTGGAAAGTATCAGTAGGACTTGCGCAACAACAGATGCAAAATTGCCAACCAGCACTATGCTTTCGCTTGTTTCCAAAATGTTTCTTCAAAATTCACTTGTAGGTGTTCTTGACTGTGACCACATTCGATGAAGCACGGATTTCGGGCACTAACATGTGGCGTTTTTGAAAGCTTGACGGAGTATGACATAATTGACCTTGATACCTGTCCAGGAAAACAAGTATTTCAAAGATTTGAAACATGTAGTTCCCTTTATAATTCCAAATAATGATATCAGAAGACGAGTGTTGTGGGATAACGCTGTCATTTCGTGCATTCTCATCGGCCATGTACATACAAATGACGAAGAAACCAAAATACGATCACATAAGTCCAAGTGTTCATCTGAATTACGATTGTGCGTTGCCCTCTACCACGGAAGATTTAGTGTCACAGTCAACTGTTTTTGAACACGGAGCGTTAAGCGCTGTCGATTGTTAACAATGGCACCGAGAAGCTTGAGAATGTGAAGCCTTTGGCTATGCATAATGACTGAATGATTCATCCGGGTTTACCTGGTGGCCGGTGTTCATCAAATGCTTCGTAATTGCTGAGGCAGCCTTACTATTCGCTCCACCCGGTGAAATCGTCACATGTTCCATCCGTTTGCGGAACCACTTTGGAATGTGATTCTTTATCCGGTCACCTAGATTTCAATTAGTGCGCCCAACAGCTGTCTCTGCAGCTACATGTGAATTTATATAGGGAATAGGACGTGCACTTTTTCGACACCAGTCTCTTCAAAGGTACAGATAGACGCAAAGTCCGCAGTCAGCATTGCAAACGATTATTCCAATAAGAGCATCTAGGATCGAATCTGAAAGCCTTGCCGGTATCGCTTTTTTCTGGAGCTGTTCAGACTCTTCTACGTACTACCGCACCCTAACATCGACTTGAGCGAGGCCCTACTTAGCTCTTTCTTCAGTTTCTTTTACGTCTATGTCCTCTTGCTAGTTCTGGACTGTCCCACCATCTCGATGACTTTTCACTGAAGCTTTTCTGTTCCTCAGTGCTTGGGTTTTGTTAATGCCGCTAGTATTGTAGCTGCTTACTGGTTTTGCCTTCGAGGCTTTGAAGAGAGACGTTTCTTTCTCACACCATGATATGTTTTTGCTAGTTGTCTTCTCCATTCAATGCACAGTGAGTACTCAAGTTCTACCCTTACTTTCTGCTCTCCCATTTACGTTGAGACCGAACGTTCTTACCTTAGAATGGATCAGAAATCTTGGTATCATTTTTCATCGGTTTCGGGGTTCTCTTTCATTCGGTTCACTGCACCTCTTCAGCTCATGGACTGCTCGACTACTGGTGAATGTCTGTTTACGTGCCCAACGCCGCTCGTACAATTCCCGGCCCTGAAGTCTCTGGATTTGGGTGACAATCACTCCTTGCATGGGTTGGACAACAGTTTGGTTAACCTGCCCAGTTTACAGCAGTTGTTTTTGGACGGCTGCACCAACTTGACTACGGTGAGTGATTGCGCTGATACTTGTTCTAGTTTCTGTCTATGTATGTTCCTTCTGTAGACCTATGTTTGTTGTGAATCGCAGAAAAACTCGATGTTACCTTCTTGTAGGATTGTTAACTCCATCGATTGACACTTTCGGCCTAGTAAAAGGCGACAAAACTCGACTGTAAGCATAGCGTCTACCGCACTGTGGGCACGTCACTAATGAACTCTACTGGGATGGACATTGGCTTAATTGCCACTACCGTAACTTTCTCAGCGGCCACTGGACCCCTTTAGGTTGACGACTGTGAAACAGCTAAAAAGCCAATAACAAACTAGAACACGATGAGTCACGAACACTTAATCTATGCATAGATTACATTTGATTACAAATGCAGTGTGGTTAGTTTACTGACTCATTGTGCAGTCTGTTTTAATCTACTGCGACGGAACTTGCATTGGCGATATGATTCGCGCCACTTGGCACAAATCTTGTTCATGCTGTCATAATGAGAGATTTATCTGATATGGCACGGTTGCGAAACGGCCTGTTCGCACAAACGACGTTCAGAGACTGTTTGGCTTTGAGCACCACCGCCTTTGGGGCATTGCTGGTTTACGACGGCAACACCACATTAGTAATGATGATGTTGGCCGAAGGATTTTCCTATCCGACAGACTTTGCCGGCCGCTGAGCCGTATACTTTCACTGCATATGCTTCGGTGGTTTGGGCACCTGCTTCGCATACCTACTGTGCATTTGCCTCATCGCGCACTCTTTGCGTACACACAAGTCGGCTGGAAGCGAAGACAAGGTGGTCAGCGAATGACTTGGGCCAAAAGTATGAAGGCGTTGACCTCACATTTGGCCGCGGTCGGGCGCTCTCGACTCCCCGGTTAGGGGGCCCAAACACCATGAACACAGTTGGCTGGAAACCCTATCGGACATGCCGAGAAACCGGGAGCAGGGGCGAACATGTGAGACTGCCCCCATGACTCCAGTTTTGTACATTTTTGCCCTCTATTTCCCTATTATTTTCGTATTATTATGTTTGTCCATACGTTGTGGTACCCTGCCAATCGTACCGTGGGCTGTACTATCTCTCTCTCGATATATATATATATATATATATATATATATATATATATATATATATATATATATATATATATATATATATATATATATATATATATATATATATATATATATATATACCTAAATCAGGTCTTTTTAAGCTGGCTAAACTTCATTCAACCTTATTTGGCTTGTTCTGCCTACCTAACTAATCTATTAATTGGCCACGTTGCTTACATTAATTGCGCTTATCTTCGGTAATTTTTTCCGTTTGTAGCATTTTTAAGTAACTTGTGGGCATTTTTTCCTTATCGCGGTTTCGTTGCTAACCAACTTACTTCATATGCTTATTTAGCTTAGAGTTATGCCACCGTATCTATATGTATTATTGGATTTGTTTTATTTCATCTTGTCGTTTCAAGTGATTGGCTGTTGCTTGATATCCCCGGTGTGGCTGTGCTTGATATGCATATTGACAAGGTGCCTACCTGTCTATTACCCACTACCTCGTCCATACTGGCTCTAGGAGACAGTTGGTCGTTGCTAGAGGGGACAGGGTGCACGGTTCTTGTGGCCGTGTTAGGATCAAAGAGTAGTTCCATGCACTTAGTGTGGAGCGGACTACGGTCCAGCCACCGCCTTGTGTGCGCTTGATTCCCGAAATGCAGCTTGCTTGTGTTTGCCTGTGAAGGAGTGTGTGCCGGCTCCGTTGATGAAACGTTGCTCCCATCCACATGCCTCCCGGTCTTATTCCTTCGGGTTTACACTGGATATGGGGTGTGTGGATGGAGCTGTGGGTGGTGCAGCGCAAGCCACCCATGGTCCCTCTGTAGGCGCAGGCGTCCAGTGGCTGTCCACAGTGACAGGCAAATCCGCAACCGGATGCCTCCAGTCATATATATATATATATATATATATATATATATATATATATATATATATATATATATATATATATATATATATGTCGGACATGGCGCAGTAGCATAATGATCAAAGCGATACCTTACAAATTGACACAAGCATCTGATTCTATATTTCTATTATTTTGTTGCCGGTGTCGTCCTGCATTTTTATACAGGATCGGAAACTTAGCTACAGCGTACTACGGTTTGAAGGTCGTAAATGTTTTAACCGTGGTAAACATAGTGATCGACCCTACTTGTGAGCTTTTGATCCCAATATCTGTGGACCAGCTATTTTGTCCCAACCTGGGTAGGTACTCATCAAACCCGTTTCCAAAGCTGTCTTTCCGTTTCTTCCTGCATGCTTATGGTTATCACTCACCGCCTCGCACCCGTTTTCCTATGGACCGCTGTGTGTTGACATAACATGTTCGTTTACTTTAGTTTACCCTTCCATAACCCCACCATCTGCTTTTATATCTTATTCCACACCAATTACTATCGTACGTTTACTTATTCTTCGCTCATCATTATTATCTGTCTACTCCTTCTTCCACACAAGTGAATGTGTGACTAATCTGCTGGACGCTTCAGACGCATTGGCTTCATCCCATGTCAACGCTCACTCAACACCCGCCTTATCTGTGCGATTTGTCAATCCTCTCATTCCGCTTGTCTTATGGACACGCTGTGTATTTTGGTCCCATTGTCTTTTACCACTGTCTCTTTGAAGCCTAGCTTATTAACTCTCGAACTAAATTGCTTGCTGTTGTAGCTGATTTGAGTTTGAAGTGTCACTGTTGAGGTATGTATTGCTATTGCTTACTTACTGGTTTGTAAAAGTGCGTTCTCCAATTCGGCCTTGTCGTTCATTTGTTCCCGGTAGAAACGCGTTGCTCAAAGCTTCCAACCGGATTTTTTCGCTCTCAGTAATGATTTGTTTCATTACTTATAAGCGACAAATTCGCTTGGGGATTTGAGCAACGCGTAAAAACTCCTGGATTTAACCACGAAAGGATGCCGGGGCTTTAACTACGGTACTCGACAATACCCGTTCGGTTTTGACGCAACCATTCTTCACATTGTCCAAAAGGAATGCAAGCTGTACTTGTTACCGTGCATCAAGAGTCACACAATACAGTGTCCACGATCGGACTACGGCTTTTCTTTTGTTGGGTCATTGGTTCGCTATACAATGTATGAAGCTGAACACGATGGACTTGACTCTAGGGGTGCCTTGGCTCAGTCAAATAGGTTGGGGGTGGATGAACCTAGTGGTGCGAGAGAATGATGCGAATCCGAGGCGTGTATGGGGGTCTGGACGGGTTACACAGTGCAAGTGAACGGGTTCCACAGTGAGAGGTGAAGTGGATCCATGACAACATCCATATGAGGACATATGGGGCATAATCAGTAAGCCGACGTTCATCAGATGAACATGCATCCGGTTTACTCATCTAGAATGAGATCCCGAGATGCCTCTTACGAATTGCCTAATGGTTACGTCGGTTACATGGATGAACAAATAAGTGGTTGGGACTAAATCGCGTCATACATCCTGTGAATTACGTGGTAAATTTACCACCCACATCGCTAGAACTATTAATGAACTGAGATTTGTAGTGAGCCGTTGCCTTTTTTGTTAAATCTGGATCCCACTGGGTTTTCATTTTTCCGATACCTCGCAATCTGACTGCGTACAGCCACGTTTAACCATTGTTTCTCTGTTTTCTACCAGATGCCTGCTGATCTCTGGCGCCTGACCAATTTACACTCACTGTATCTGGCTCGTACACCATTTGGGTGTCATCCGACCCCCAAAGACCAGATGGTGTCATCTCATTCCAGCAACTCGTCAACCGGCACAAGCAAGCATAGCCCAAAGATACAACCTCCCATTGTGAAATACTTCAAGTCTGTGGCGTCGCAGTACGTGCAACTTTTTGCGCTTGTCATCTCCATCAATTAAATATTTGACTCAGCCACTACACATCCAGGAAAACGGTAGACGGCCGATCCGCCCTATTTGAACTCGTCGGTAGCGCGCACCCACTCAATCCTGCCTTCTTCGAACCCACGACCTTACTCTTTCGAGCCAGTGACTTACATCACTGAGGCATGGGCGACGGCAGCGGACCACCATGACTGGGATCTAACTGCGTCATTTTTGAATTTGGAGAAGAATGGTAATGGGCATACGTACATCATAGCCGGCCAAGCGCTGCATCTCACAAGATCCGTAAAATATCTAGGCGTACTCTAATCCTCTGATCTGAAGTCCCTCGACAACACGAACAGACTGTACGGATACGGACTACGCCTGCTTTGGGTACTTAGGCGCAGCTTCTGCACTTAGTCTGAAGAGATTGCCACTTGCCTGTTCTCTTTCATGATAAGACCGGTGCTTGAGTACGGTTCACCCGCCTATTGTCTGATCACAATAGGTGAAGTGGTGAGACTGGAATGGGTTCAGCATTGTAGCTACCCGCTTCATCCTCAGTTAACGGGGTATGCCGTACAAGAACCGATGTAGGGGACTAGGGCTTCATACCGTCATATCGTCGGATTCAAGTTGCTCTCAATATGACGCACCGGATACTGCACCTGGACCACTTCCCTACGTTGAAACCGTTGCTGCACGCTCGCGCACCAAGCAGCACACGCGGACACCGGTACAAACCAGTGATGCCGGACTTAAAGCGCATCGCTCACCGTCTATGCTTCGATCGTCGAGTGAAGAAATATTGGAACAAATTGCCGGAGACGATAGTTGAAGCGAAATCTGTGTCGGAATTTAAGAGATTCCTTGACGCCCACTTTGCGGACTACAGGTATAGGAAGCGTATCGCACCCGGATAACATGTATTGCTGCTGCAATATGCTGCCACCGCACAGTAGTCCGCGAGGTGATTCCGCACATGTGCCCTATGCACCTACGATGGATCAACACAGATTTTTATCTTCTTACTCTCAGTATTCTTCAGTATTCAACAACAATTAGGATCACCAAGAGCCTTCTTACTCTCATATCACCATAAGTGCTTTTTCTCTGCACGCGATACCCTCTTTAGGCTGCCACGTGATATCAATCGCACTAATGCTCCATGATATGGTGGAAATTGAAGTCCATAATTGGATCTCAACCGTTGAGGTACGTTATCAACTACCCCGATGTACACATCCATGCTTCACTTAGCATACGGGAGCAGTTGTTACAGCAGCTCTTCCGTTTTCGGTTACTGGAGGGGCAAATGAACGTAAGAAGTCCAAATGGCGAAGAAATCTCTTTTCGATTATTCACATCAGGCCGTTACAGTAATAAGAAAAACATACAACGCGGTAAGCTGCTATCAGCTATCCTGAGGACAGCTAAGCAAAGAGTTTGAGCGGAATCAATAAGTCAGCTCGATGCCTATGTCGATTCACCTAGGGTAGGCCTCGTAGCCGCTTGTAAGCCGTTAGTGTCTGACATGGAGCAACTGTCGCATAGCCAGGGCAGGAGAAACACGTGTACAAGGGCTCACTGCTTGCACAACTCGTGCTGGGTAAGTCTGATGGAAATTGCTTCAGCTGTCTTCAAAACATGCCTTCTGATAGCCTTCGGATAACGTGGTGACACAGAGTAGAGGACCTTAAACGCATCCGATATTCGAATTTCGTGTCCACTTAGGATCAAATGTTCCATGATAGCGTTGTTTGTGCTTCTACCCATGCCTCTTCTTAACCACACTGGGCAGTGTTCTGCTACCCGTTTTGACAGACGCCTGGTTGTGTGTCTATGGTGTTTTGCACCACAGGTGGAAGTAACTTGATGCAAGACGTATGATCGGGGGTCAGTCTTTGAGACGCGGGATAACAAAGGGTACGGTCTGAGTAAACATATGTGGGTAGTTGGCTGGGTAATTTTTGGACACCTCGTCTGAGGGTCTCCTTTTCAGCAAGTCCAAGGTAACCTCTCCTTTGATTGGCTCCGATAGAAGCACATCCGTTTTTGATACGGTCAGGGTGATTTCGGAGTGCAAACGAGTTGTGGCGTGATTTCTGTTAAACTGAACGGGGTATCCTTTATCTTGCAATATCCTGAAGTTACGATGTTTTTCCTCCTCCAGAGTCTCTTCTCTACAGATTCTGGCGGCACGGTAATGTAAGCAGCGCACTAACTTTCGCTTGTGTTGCAAAGGTACAAAGCTTTAAAGGTGTGTGTATTGCCCGCCCATGTCGGCTTCCGGAAAACGCTCCTTTCCAGAGAGCCGTCATGGCGTCACTCCAGCAATATGTCCAAAAAGGTCAGTCTTCCTTCGCTTTCTATCTCACTGGTGAAATACAACTCTGGATGTGCGCTGTTGAATTGAGCTAATAAACGAGAAACGTCTCTGTTTGAATCACACATAATGAATGTATCGTTCACATATCGCAAGTACGAATCAAACGTTTAGATAATTGACCCTAAAGGTCGCCTTTCAAGCTACGCCAGGAAAGACAGCAAGGAGCGGTCCTAGAGGGACATCATCGCCACACCGTCAATTTGCCTGTAATAGACTCCATGAAATAGGAACTGCATGTTAAAGGTGCATTGCAAAATAAGTTCATTTATTGTGCTTAACGGAATCCCGAGGTTTATCTTCTTGGTGGTGATGCAATCACAAAGAAAATTGGCCGTTTCTAGCAACGGGATGTTGATGAAGAGTGATTTTACAACGAATGAAAGCATGAGCTTGCCACGCACGGAAGTGCACAAGCCAAATGTACCTCTACGCACGATTATTGACATGTTCTTCTTCCGCCTTCCACTCCGTCGCGAAGTGCCTATTGGAAGTGTTGTAGCCTGTATGCAAAGAACTTTCTATTCACTCACTAAAACACTCTTTTGCATTCGTGAAACACGTAGCGAATCTGAACGTTCGTGACAAATTCGTGCAATCGACGTAGGCATCGAGCAGACTGACTGATTCCGCTCGAACTCTTTGCTTAGCTGTCCTCAGGGTAGCTGACAGCAGCTTACCGCGTTGTATGTTTTTCTTATTACTGTAACGGCCTGATGAGAATAATCTAAAAGAGATCTCGTTATCTGGACTTTTTTCTTAACATGAGCACTAATCACCAGTTGAAACGATGGTATTGACCGTGGAAGGGACATAAACGGCAGCAGCAGCAGTGTAAGGCATGGGTAACTTTCCTTATATCGGGTTTTTAACATTTCGATCCGACTAACGAGAGAGAATGGCTTCAGAATTTGGAAGAAAATGCATAGACTCATTAGCTGGTCACTATAAACTGTTCGTTTGCTAAACCATCGGTATAGTTTAAATCTGGTGTAGTACTCACAACTTCTGACTCATGAGCATCGAGCAGTGCGATGGGCGATCAAAGGAAGGACACAAAACGAAAATTTGCATTGTGCCTCAGCAGTATGATCGTTACCCAACACGAGATGGAGGAGCGACCGAACACGAGGGCAAATAGGCACCGAGCAGTTGATAAAGCGACAACTGCCAAATTTCGAAATACTTTGGGCTCCCAGATTCGAGTGTATCTCATGCTTCAAACTACCACCAGTGACCAGTGACTTATTTTCACTATCTGGGCTACTTACTTTACGTAACTTATAAATGAGCAGGTTTCATGATTTAATCTACTGATGTCTCTATTTTTCCTTGAATGCACATTCTTGACTGGACTTGGGAGTGGGGGACACCGACAGTGGCTTACTAGGCTCTGCGAATCAGACCCTAATAGCCACACTGAGGATGTTGCCTAGCTTGGCAATAAAACGTCTGCAACAAAATTACCCAGCTCGGAGAACACATCAGCCCTCTCATCCACACCCCGAGCTACAGGTATTCTCAATAATTTCCATACCGACTATGTCTCCACTTCGGATGCAGGACACTTGGATTTGAGCGATCAACTGTCGCTTCAAAGGAAGATGATGCCTAAAATTTGAAGTGGGTATCCTAACTCTAACGCGCAACGGAAACGTTAGCACTCAGGTGGTTATTCGTAACCTCTCTGGCAGATGATATATGTGCGGCTCGATAGTCACGTTCTATGGCTCTCGTCGGAAATGCCATGGTTCCATTTCCAACCCTATTTGATGGGTCCAAACAAGTAATGGACCGGCCACGGAGTCCGATGCCGGAGCACGCAACTGCGAATATGTGTTGCACACACTTGATTAATTGAGAGGAGCATCTGGCACATCGCCGCCCTTACGTTTCTGTTGTTCACATATGTTTTAAACGTAGTCGTCTGTAGTCTTTCGGTAAACATCGTCGGTGCATCGGTGCCTCTTCAATTGAGGATCTCATGTGATAGGCCACTTTGCTAGATCTGGTCTCACATTAGCATATGCTCTAACAAGAACCTCTTCACTGAAACGCTAATGTGAAACTAGGTACGATCCGTGTAGTGCATTTCCTCAGAACCCACTTTTAGTTGTAGTAACCTTATCCTGTCTGCCCACCATCTACTATCCGCCTTGTGGTTGTTTGCAAGCGACAAAACAACTATTAATAGTAATCATCTTCTCAACTGTCTCTAATTCTGTTTTCTACCTCCTACTGATGAGTTCTATAAGATGTAGGGTAGTTAGCGAAGCTTCGCATACCCTCCGATCGTATATTTTCAGTTGCTTCAGATCACTTTCACAGTGCTATTCAAATATACTGAGGTTGGGTCTAAAAACAAACAGGGTTTCTGCGCTTGGTGCTATAACATCGAGGTGAGCACGAAACATCGACCGATCATCTTGTCGTCCCAATGCACCTTTTTGTTCATGAATTCACTCCACCTTTCCCCACACTATTTTTAGATCCCGTCCTCTGACTAACATCCGTCTGCTTGTTCTTGGACCAAGGGGCGTTGGGAAATCGACACTGATCAAGCTGTTGCATGCAGTGGAAGAGAAAGATGCGACACCATTCCCGGCAGAGAAAGTAAGTTTTATCGCTTCGCTTTCTAGGGGTCCCTGAAACCTATGCTGTTTCGGATGCCGTGTGCCGGATGCTCATGAAATCAGCATGTTCGCCTAATTGACTGTTTAACTGAGCTCTGCGCACCCACGTGGAGTGGACGGCATTTCCGCTGCTCGCACCTCTGTGATATGGAACAAATTGATAAATGTACTGAAAGTTGATGAGTTATGAACACACTAACTCGAACAGTAAATGGAACTGAGTCATCAAAAGACCACAGTTGTTAGATGAAAGCGATAATAACGGTAGCGGTCTGCGCACAAGTTTGCCACTATCGTCGGGGCAGTATAGTGTCAGATGAGGTAGTAGGTAGTCGTTCCTATAGACGATCCCAGAACATATATCCTGAATGAGACTACACACCATCCTGGTGACGTCTTTCGATTATTCTCTGCTGTGAGCGGCTATCTGTACTTAGCAGCTATCCACAGGGGACGTTTGTCAGCCCACTAATTACTGAAACACGTTAATACTTCAGATTAACCGCTAGCTGATGCTTCACACCTGAAAGTGAACAACATTTGAGCATCACTTTCAAGTACACTCTGGTGAGAGTTTAGGGCGAAAGCTCGTCGTGCTTCACATGTCTAGATGGCTAATTAGCACGTCAACCACACGCGCAACACAGACGACTTAGCCCAAGCCTTCGTGATCACTCACTGTGAGCGGAACTACGTTCAAGAGATTTGTAATGTTTTGTTTCACTTTTGTAACCATGTCCTTTCGTGCGAAATAAGTTTTTGATCAAAGCCTAGCTTGACTGCTTGCGCTTTCAGAAGTCTAAACCGCACACACTATCCCAGGGTTGTGCTGCTTAACCGCGGCAAAACCTGCTGCATGTAATGCATGTGATATGTGAGTACTTGCCTCCAGTCGGTTGCCATAAACTTCCCCAATGCTAACGAGAGTATACAATCTTTTCAAACGCGTTCGTCGCAAACCCATGTGCTTCACAGAGGTTACGATGCTGTCACTTGAACGCCTTGACACACATTTCGCCCTTCAGTTCCAAGCATCACTCTGGGAACAAAGTTTGGACAGTGTATTTCTTACTGGATCGCGTGAGCTGCAACAATGTGGTAGATGATGAAGCGGCATTCAGACACTGTTTTATGCGCCTGCTGTAGCAGTCGATTGCATGTATCAATTTGGGTCACTGACATGAATTGAGACCAAATTGCAAACACGCACTGTTAATATATACCAGTAAAGATTAATGTAACTCATGTTTTATCTTAGTGGCATACGTTCTAGCCTTACGTCGCTACTTCCTAGAAATAATCATAAGTTTTGAGTCCGTCGGATGCGTGTTACTGCTGAGTCCAAACTGAACAACTCGGCCGTGTAACGCTTCTTTGACTGTCTGTCCAAGGTTGCTTGTGGCGAACCTTTTCAGATGCTTCAATTGTCCCCCCACTACTTACCATGTGCTAGTCATTTTAAGATGCTCTATATACGTCATTATTATCGAAATGAAGACCCTACGTCAGGCTGCAGCACGACTGAACAAGGTCGATTTTTAGGTCGTGCACTTTGAGTCAACGGCGATTCGATATGTATCATGTCTGCCCACGCACTTGGGCACTTTACGCGAGCTCTTTTGACCCCTTGAACTCGTCTTATCATACATACGGCGATCATCGGACACTGAGATTGCCCGTTGATGTCGAGCGATCACTTATTATCTCGCTGTTAGTAAAGACCCGTAACTCACGGTGCCTTTTATCGTTTGATCCAATGCTCAGTGGTCATTTCTGGGATGTTTCGCAAACTACGCACAATCAGACATTTCGGATGAAGATACAAATTTTCCTGTACCCAAGTAACTTGGGCTCGCCCCTTCAAAAATCCACTGGGATTTCTGGTTGAGCATGGTTTACTTCTCATGCTAATGTTCCAAACTGCAAGACTAGTGCACCCAATAAATCGAGATTATAATCGTACACTAAGTAAAAGGGATACGCAACTAATGATATGAAGGTGGTATGATGCTGTGGGGAATATGCTCCAACCATAAGCTCCTTATAATCATCTGGATAAACGTCAATCGAAAAACCACACGCCTAAGCTGTGAAACGTGCAAGGTCTCAACAATGTGCGCCACCGTGGTTACTCTGCTGCTGTTCGTAACATTATCGGTCGGCCGGTGGCCGAGTGCTCTGCGTGCCTGGTTTGCAACCAGGAGGTCCTCGGTTCGAATCCGCGTAGGGGTGGGCGTCCTCGCAGTATACTCAGCCCGTGCGCGACTAGTGATGGTCGCGTGGCAGCGAAGCGCCGTTACGCAGTACAGCTCATACATTTTTTTTTAAGCCTTATCAGCTTTCTCACTGATGTAATCTTCACATTACTTTGCTTTTCAAAGGTCTTGAAACTGTATTTCGGCCCATATCTCTTGTGGTGAGAGAGTATGGATCATCGCCATACACCGTCAAGCTAACCTATGATCACTTGTTGAGGCTCGGCACCACAATACACTCACTGGAAAATAGTCGAAATTGCATGACTGCAAACAACTTAAGTGAATTTAGTAGTACCTTTCCCATGTAAATGAGTGTTAACTCATCGATTGCAAGGTGATTAGTCACCTGATGATCTACACCAGGTGCTAATCTGTCTCATGCATCGATGGAAACAAATGACCGTGAAGAACACAGATGCACGATTTGCTCTATGATAATTCGTACCTCATTTCTCTCGTAGAAGAGATGAAATGCATAAAGGTTTGTCTGTATGTTTAGACTGGGTTTGTTTCACTTCCAAAAAACAAGTTGTCTAGGTGGTATGATGTTTTCTGGGAAAGGCACCTAGGAAAGTCTAAGGAATCATGGAGGCATGGGAACTATCGTACCACGCTAATACTGTCTCGTGTATTGTTAACCACATCATAATAATATGGAAAAGTGAAACGAAACACTGAGAAACAACTCATTGGAGCAGTATCTAGGCATTTCTTCGTTGTCGTATGGGACCGAATACAAGAGTGTTACTGGCCTTCCTTCCGCCGCACATCGGTTACCAGCGTGGTCCGTTTGTTTAGACCCACACCTTCACATTACTTTGCGCACCCACTCATTCCAGTTTCTTCATTATCTACTCTTGTGTCACCGTCTGATCACCTGGGGGTAGTCTCGCTCAGCCGGATATCTTACTCTGTCTAGCGGAACAATTCACGCTGTGTCCTAAGAAAAGTAGGCAAAATTACTTCTTAGGTAAAAACTAAAGCAAAACTCCACCTACCGGATCGTGACAGTGTCGTCCACACTGTGGCAATTTTTTGAGACACTGGTGCTTAATTACAATCATCTTCCCGGCCTCTTCTTCACACATTAACCACGTATATGATGCGTATAGTTAGTTACACTATCGGATTTTGATCTGTGGACTGATACTCTACTCTTTCAGCATCTTATCAATGTTTGGAAATCCACATGGACCTACGGTTGCTCGCATTAACCTCTTGTCTAATTGACCATAAGACGTGAGCCCCCCAAGTGGTTGTGTATCAAACAGTTCCCTCGTCATTACTTTGCACCCTTTGGCTATGTAGCATGTGGCAAAGCGTTCCGCGTAGCACTTATTCCCAATCTAAGTGACCCATTGCTGAACGTCTACATTACATGAATCGGACTTGCGAGAACCAATCGTAGGCAGTTCATCCGCAAATTTTAAGAGGAAAGCAGTAGGTTTTGCGGATAGCTTCCTGTGGTTCCTGGACTTGCAGCCTTCAGCTTTCCGGCGCTCTCAGAGTTGGTTTCACTACAGACGGCCTTAGATAGAGGTACAAAACCCATGACAAATTCATCTGTACTTTGGACGGTCCACCCATTTGGCTACATACTTATTTGAGCTGTTTGTCCTCTCACACTCAAGTCGCGCACTTCCTTTCCTCTTTAATAGGTTTTGTTAGTCATAAAAAATCACTAGACAGTATTATATGTACTTTTCTAATTTTAAACAATGCTATCTACCATTATTTTCTTCAGCAGTCTCCATCGACCAATACCTTTGAACCTACACTTCCACTCCGCGTCTCTAAGGTGGATTGTAAAAGTGTCGATTCAACTGACACATCTCATCTCTCTAGTTGCGCTGACTGTTCCCCCGTTGTGAGTGCAACGCAGCTGACCATCCGAAGGTCGTGCCAGGTGAGCCTCCTGATCTGTCGTCTGTTGGGTGTCAAAATGAATGCTGTTCTCTTTATTGTTAATACGAGAACTACTGTTGGTCCACCTATTATCTTCGTTTAGACAGTGTGTCGAACTATGTGCGTTTAATATCTTCCAAACTCTAGCATATCTTCATTTTTCCTACACGAGAACGCTCACATTTAACATATGCCAGAATTCAGTTCTTTGACATCATGGTTTCCACACACACACACACACACACACTGGTTGGTCCGTCCCAACTTACAATGTCCTCCCCACTCCGCTGCCGCGTTACCCAACTCGTCAAGCCGTTCCGATGACAGTACTGATCTCATGGTTGTGAATCTTAGGTAACCAATTTCATCCTAGGAGATCCTGACTAAGGCTCAAACGAATACCATCAAAATGTTACGTTCAAATCTTTAGCAAGGAAGACGTTGAAGTTTACCTACTTAAATTCTTTCCTACATCATTGAAGACACGATCTGCTTTTCATTGATAGTAACCCACCCGCTGAACATCTAATTAAATTCGGGTCGACACGGCCCAAGTTACCTAGCCACCAGACGTGTGTGCATACGAGCTGCGATTGGAGACGGAACGCTTAACTTCGCTCGACAGCACTGTGACCCACAGGGGCAAGCGATCGTCAGTCAAAGGTAAATCTTCGCATTAATAACAGTAGCATAGAGGCGCCAGACAAACTATGAAGGGAACTCAGTATGGCACATGAGTTGTCACGTACTCGCAGTGTCCTGATAGTAAACTCAGTTGCATGCATTTCGCATTGTCTCACACCAGTCGCGCTACAGTTGCACAAGGTTCCCATGTACGTGAATTTGAGAAGCGTGGTAATTACTGTTAATCGCTTCGTGAACACCCAGCTGGAGATAAACACATCGTGTTCTTCATGATTGACAGACGACCGAATACAGCTATAGAGGATTTCAGTTCAGTTAACGCTTTGTGTCGAGGTAGCAATTCAGAACTATCTTCCATCGGGACCCAGAAGATGCAAAGTCAGATATGGGATACTGGTTTTGGCCACGTGAAGGGGCAATCCACTCTGACTAATGCTATATCTTCTAGCAATTCCGGTTGCCATCCACATGATCTCATTGTGTGAGTTTCGGCTAGTTGGCTTAAAGCGGGGCATAAGTATTAACCGATTGGGTTTCTCTATCAAAATTCTTCCTTGGTCAATTCAGACATTTATTGTCTCTTCGGTAGCATCTTGATTCAATGCAAAGCCTCAGGAAGTGCGGTCCTTCGAACCACACTGACGATTGCAGTCAGCATCGCGATGGTCCCGGGATCATGCCTTGAAGGCTGGTAAAATGTTCGCTTTTGTGCGCATGGAGCCCGTTCGATCCGTTGTATTCCGATTACGTGGAGGAAATGCAGTAGTCGAATTTGCCTCCATTCTATGAGGTGTAGACAACGCATACTCTCCTCTGTTCTACTGACGCGTCTCATAAGAACTTCACATCGGTGTCGAACCTATTTTTGAATGTCCCTCAATCACAAAGTGTCTAGTTACAGTCCACTGCGATTTGACTGGTTTAGCATGCTTTCTTTCAATGTGCTTTCTTTCTTTACCACATCTTTCACGGCACCGTGCATCCTCTCAGCAACTACTAACTTCTCAGGCGTATGCAATCATAAGCAAATCAAGCTGTCGGTATACAACGAGCCAACTAATTTACGCTGACGATCGCTGCCAGGCCGGATTAGTCTGAATTCATGCGTTAGGCAACGAGCTGACAGAATCTGCTCGAAAATCATGTTTTCGAAGGATTTGGAGTGTATTCGTTTGGCGCTAAAGGAGCACAGCTACCCGGGGTTTCATTAAAACCACAATGGAACATAGCAAGAATCCTTAGTTTTGACATTAGAACGGAAGCCATCATTCTTACAGATCTCATACGACGGCAAAGTTACGGCAGAACTTTGAACGCGCCCTTTCCCACGCACTCAAACGTGCTTTTATAGCGGCAGAAATGCAAACCCAGTTCGCCAGTACTCCGATGGTGACACCGGACTCAAAGGATAAGAGCCTGCCAACGTTCAATCAAGGTGCATTTATTCGTTTTCCTGCTCTTCTGGAGCAGAATAAATTGTCTTACGACAAGGCGTCTGCCGGAGAGTGACTGAATACCACCTAACCTGACTTGGAACTAGAAGCAGAAAAGCAGACAACTCCTCTGGAGCCACACACCTGGTCGACACGAGAGATGCTTCCAAATCAGCCGACTGGTTCAAAATCATCTATCAGCAATCCACCAAACGATCTAATTATGTCCACTAGCGGCTAGTAGAAGCCACTTGGGCAATACCGATCCAGATGTGTGAACCGGACACTCACTCGAGGGTTGGGACCACTGAGCGACTGGTGCAATCGCTTGTTGTGACCCAACTGACAGCTATCGCCAGCGTCCAACTAATTCGTTCGGTAACTAACGAGTTAAGTTTCTGTCTACATAGTTTGATTTGCTTATAATTGCATAAACCGGAAGTGGGCTTATCGTAGTTGTGTTGTAATACGCAAACAGTCTCAGTGGGGGTTGAGGTAGTTCCAGTATCACTGCACGTGGGCACATGAAGAACGCAGGTTGCGTAGGGACGGTATGTTCGCAGACACTAGGTGACCTAACATAAAGGACCAAACTCTGGTAACGAGAGTGAGCCGGTACTTTAAATGTGTACCAAATAATGGATGGGATGGTTATGATTGAAGTTGGAGAAGACCGAGTTACCATTACACTATACCACAAAGGGGTGGGTGTTATCCGCGACGCCCCAACTGCTCAATTTAAAGTCGCTCATGGTTTTTCAGTTGCAATTTCGGGTAAACACACATGAGACGCGCACCGTTTAAGGACGCACACAGGTATTCAGTGGTACAAGATAAGCACGATGTCGAGAGAGGTCCATTTACCTTGTACCTGCGCAAGTGGTACCTTGCTAAACGAAAGACAAATCGTTTGCGATGGAATGGAAAAACATGCAATCGGTAGACTGAGTGTACCGGAACTGGTTGCATGGATAGTGAAAGGGAGTGATACTTTCCGAGGAAGATCATCAGAGTAACTAGGATGTGACTCACCATATGTTGGGTGCATTCCAATGCGTATGGCGCAAGCTCTGTCAGTAATTTACACAGAAAGTCGTTGCGTGGCACATTCCGAGATAAGGAAACAGCGTGCAGCACACAGCGAAATCTGAGGGTCACAATCAACAGCATCGTACGTACACAATTCTTCGACCACCTGAGCTTAGGGAAGCGCATGTGGCGAAGAGGACTGCGACACTACAGAGACGCTAAGACTATTTGATAACGGTACGAGAGTCTCTGGGATCAATGCTGCACATAGTTTCTGTGGTCTGTGTAGTTGTGGATCTCGTGGGGTCCCGCACACCCTACTAGGTCTGCGGTTGGCGATGACCAATCCGCCAGTACTGGCCAACTATGTGGCACGACCATCCCGCAGCTGGAGATGTTTGGGTAGACGAATCTACCCCATTTTGCCGACTAGACAGGTGTAGTGTTATACATCTGCACATCTTATTGAGAGAATAAATTTTACAATGTTTCCCATTCTGTTCGCAACAAACAGGTCGGTGACCCCATTATCTACATAGAGGAAAACGTATGTGATTTGTTATTCCGGTGGAACAGAATAAAGGTCAGTCTCCACTGCTCGTCTCCAAAGGATCACATTTTTACCGAGTGCGCAACGTGATGAAGGGCTGGGCGAGCAACTTGTGTGGGAAACTAATTCCATTCCATTTTGTCGCCAAGTATGTGGTGCGCAAACAATCCTACTGGGAGTTGAGGTACTTACAGTAGCATCGCGAGTGATGGCAGGAAAACGCAGGTTGCTCTGGGACGGTATATTTGCAGACAACAAATGACCTATCAATAGTGACTAAGCTGTGGTAACGAGGGTCTGGCGGTCCTTTAGAGCGTGTTTGCTTGACTTACCGGTGACTCTCCTTATCTTTCCGACTTAACTTCTACTTGTTTGTTTCGGCTGTGTTCTTTTCGAAGTGTTTCCTCATGTTCAAATTCCACTCCGTTTGTTTTGCTCTCGCAACTTCAGGATCACGAACGCAGCAGTGCGGCAGGACCGCACTATTCGTCGGGCTCTCAGTATGTATCTGTTTGGTACGACGAGATTACATTCAGTGTTTGGGACATCACCGGTCCTTCCTCGGCTCCACACATGTGCGCACCCATCGTCGACCGCCAGCATTCAGTTCATTTTGCATCCGATTTAGCAGCTCACACTTTGTGTGCGATTGAACAGCTCTTATTCAGTCGTCACGCGGTATTCCTCGTTCTGTGGCGCATGTCCGACGGTGTTCATGGGCTAAACCAGACCACCCAGTGGCTGATGAACATTCAGGTCAGTAGATGGTGTACGTTGTTTTATGTTGCTCTCTTTTCCGACATCCTCTCAAAATGGTTTTCTAGAGCGAGCGGCTCAAACGCAACAGTTTGCAAGTGCCTTCACTTTAGTTCAACGTGAAACAGTTGTACCTCTAAACAAGTGCTTTGTCGCAGGATAACCTTTTGAATTGATATTCGAACTAACCGCAACACGAAAGTTTGGACGTGTTTCACGGGGCGTGGGACCGGACTCACGCGTTCGTTGCGTTGTATGTGGAGTGCTGAAGAGAATGCGCGAAATTAGTGGATTTAGATTATTATGTTGTATGTTTTACTCTTTCGGTTTTTGTGAATGAGAATCTCGAATGAGGTTCATGTAGGCATTAGGAACATTTGATCGATCTATCCTTCTTGTCAGCTGCGTTTGCCTAGACGGGCGTGCGACCAATTGAAGTATTTGTTGTGTCGCCACTGACGCCTTCACCCCACGACCGCAAGAAGAAGTCCAAAGACGAGCCGGAAAGAAACATGTATACATGAAATCACATTTGCTTATATAGTTTTGAAGACAAAATGAAGGGAAGCTACTAAATTACACTTGAGCCAACCAACAGAATGAAAACGTCAAATGCAACGAGCGAATAAGCAACCGTGTAATCAAGAGCGAATGACATATCTCCTTAAAAATAACATCATGCGACCCCAAGCGTACAGCGAACGTCCATTTACAGTGATGGGCACTGACCAATCAGAATAACGAAATATAGCGTTTAAACAAGTGTCACGAAACAAACGAGAATAGGAAGTGCAAACCCAAAAATAGAAAACTAATACAATACTTATGTGAAAATTAAATATTCCTTTTACATAACCAAGTAGAAAAGTGATTTGCAGAAAAACCGATGGTATGTGTTCTTGCAAATGGCATTGCTGAAGATGACACGGAGATGAGCGTCCATTAACAATGACGTGTGTGTACCAATCGAGCTAACACAGTGGAGCGTTCAAACAATGGTCAAGGAGTGGAAAATAGGAAGAACAAAAGATGGCTATTAAGCTCGTTCACAAAAAATGAATGTCAATTAGCTATTCTGCTAACAGTATTACATTTAATTCCTGACACCCCTGGTACCCATCGTTGATTTCCTTGTTCTTAAGACTTAGGGTACAAGCCCACAAGCGGTTCGTCTCTTACGGCGAGACATGACCCCTTGCGCTTCAAGAACTTGACCACTGTCATGTCGAGTGACAGCAGTGTGTCCTATGGCACTGAGGTCCATGGTCGAGTATTTAACGACGTTGATCAGCGTATTTCGTTCAATCAGCAAGTAGGACTGAAACATCTGTCGGTTCTGATATCTGTTCGCTTGTTGCTTACCGAGATATAATCTTACAATTGTTTTTCAGATGTTGATGACTTCGGGACCGAAGAGCCAGTAAGCAATGAAGTAACTGATCACCATATTTGGTGTTGTTGATCCATCTTACCCTCCAGTTTACGGTTCGCGCAGCCTGCTCTGAACGTGACTTGAGCTCCTACAGGATGCAACTTACAGTCAGCATCATTGACGCCTTTTCTGCTCTCTCTCCTAATCGAACTGACCGTTTGAAGTTTGCTCAACACTGAGTTACTTGCATTGTAAGGTTTTCATGATGTGGAACAGGGAACGACGAAAGGAATCTGTTTCGTCTTCCTTCAAATGATAGCCAGGCGTGCGTAGGTGTGTTGGCTTACTGCAGTTATGTCTTGCGCCAGGTCCCTAGTACCCACTTGTTACTCTTTGTTAGCACGGCAGTTTTGTTTGCATGGTAACCAGACATTAATAAAAGTACCGGTATGTTACTGTTGGGTATACTGGTGATCGTGCCGCTACCGTCCCACACCGTGACCCAAGCATTGCTGTATCCGCCGTCTCGTAACGTTAGGGTTATAGCTTCGGGTTCCTTATCAGTTCGACAACCCCGGGGAGTGGGTGTACCGGTTACCCAGTGCTTCTCCGGATGTTTTTGATGGTTTTACTGGAGATGTTTTTAGTGTACTCTTTTACGACATAAGATCTCCATAGGCGCAGAACTACTAGCCGTCAAAGTTGACGGTATTTGTAACTATCTTGTAAGGATATCTGTCACCGTTCACAGCCTGGCACCTTGCGCTACTTCGGTGTTTTGGTTTAACGGGGGAGAAAGGAAGACAGAAACCAGCCACCGCCTTGTGTGCACTTGATTCCCCCAACTACAGCGTGCTTGTGTTTGCCTATGAAGGAGTGTGGGCCGGCTCCGTTGATGAAACGTGGCTCCCATCCACATGCCTCCCGGTCTTATTCTTTCGGCTTTACACTGGATATGGGGTGTGTGGATGGAGCTGTGGGTGGTGCAGCGCAAGCCACCCATGGTCCCTCTGTAGGCACAGGCGTCGTGTGGCTGGCCACTTTGACAGGCAAATCCGAAACCGGATGCCGCCAACCAAAATGCTTCTATCCATGATCAAACCACACCGTTGTATCGACGTCTCTGCCTTTCACTCCTCTGTGCCTTGGTCTTGATTTGTCCGATTCTCTATCGCCTGACTAATTGACTATCGCTCGTACCACCGCACTTGGCTAGCTGCTTGTATGACCAGACTTAGATTAGTCCATGTTGTCAGTGACGAGCTTATTCGTCAGCTTCTCACTCGGCCAGCCGCACTCGCGCTTAGCTTCGGGACGCCGTGTCCGCGTTCGTTCGGTGTGGCCACTGAACAGTAGCTCACCGACTTGGCCTCATCATACCTCGTTACTGGCTACAGGTAACTTCCGTCAAGAGCCAGTTTTTCACCAGTGTGACACAAGTCGCGATGCAAAAGCATCAACTAATGTTTACTGACTTTGCAGTCGAATTTCACGCAACAAAGTACCCACTCGAGTCGACTTTTGTGCTCATGATCTGCACCCACCCGGCTTTATACCATTTCAGTTCGGGCTTCCGGTGACTGAGTAATTTACTTGTCAGCATTCGCTTTATTAAAACCCGAAACTCGGAGTTTCCCCACCCCCGCTGCTGTGTGCGCTTGCCTTAGTCAACCCCGCTGACTGTAGTTGATTTGATGGACTGCAAACGTCTGCTCTTGCAGCATTATTAATGACTTGTATGATGTTTTTCTTTGATTCCTAATGTGATTACGTGGTACTTCATTTCTACTTTCTTCTGATCGCATGAAATTACGGACTTTCTACCTCTCTTTCGTTTCTTTGAGGACCCCTTTTTCCCATAAACTATTTTTAATACACGAACTGGACGCTTCTCATCTAGGGTACATTTCACGTTGATGGCAATCATTTGGATATCTGAGTGGTTTGCCACTGTTTTTCCATGAAGCCTCTTTATGCTGAGATACCGGACCTTTTTCCGTTGTCAACCCCCGCTATCCACATCATGTGATGTCTGCCCATTTTCCTTTGAGGCAATTTTCCTCACTCTCGGCTTACAACAGAAAGTCCCCACACGATGTACCACATTGACACGCCAATTATATGCCTCGCAGATTCTCAATTGCTACTTTTCACAACGTAGAAAGTTCCGGAAAATGATGTTTATGCGTGACTCATGTTCCACTCCTTCAGGCCCGTGTTCCTATGTCTCCGGTCATTTTGGTTGGAACGCATTTGGACCGGTGCGACAATGCGCGTCGATCAGGTGATCGGACAGAAAGCATCGAATTCTTAACTTCACTAATCAAGTCCCGGTTCTCGAGCACAATTGACTTGGCTGCATACGGGCTACCTCGGGTGTACGGTCACGTGATGTTAGGTCTCGAACCTGAGATGAACTCAGATTTTTTAGAAAGGACAAAAGGTCTGGCTACAATGATCCACAAGGCTGTCAACGAGATGCAGGTTTCAAGCAAGTTCTCAGTCATTCCGTTAATAGTCCAATCTATGTGATCTCTTTGGTTTTCCCTTTCGCTACTGGATCTCATTTCACTTTGTGTGAATAACGCATCGGATCACTTTTTATGTTCGCTTCACAGCAATATCCTCCTCCCTCCAGCCTTAAACTGCCTTGCAACTTTAGTGCATTCGTTTCCTCCCTTACTTTGGGCTTGTGGAACACGACCGACATTCCAAGTCCAACCTTCTTCACTGTCAACTTTTTGTCCTATTTTTCAAGCCTACATCGACTTCATCATGTGGCCCACCGTCATGAAATCTCGTCTCAAATTCCTTTGTTATACTGTGGTAACATCTCGTTTGTGAATGAGGAAATCCATTGGGCTACTTATGGTCCCAACCAAACTTCAAATCAATCGAAAGCACATCACCTTTTCATTTCCTTTGCTTTTTAGCTTGAGTGCACTTCACTTTCCAAGTGCCTTCAGAGCCATTCATACCAGATAGGTCAGTGATTAGGGGTCAGAGTAACAGCCTCACAATCCTATTCGGAGATAGTGGAGAGACGAACGGACCTCTTCTTTCAAAAGCTAACCATGGGGAAAGACAGGTGACGAGTTATAAGCTCTCAGCTCGGTTGGTGGAGAGCACAGGTGTTTCGCATTGTCTTTGACGGTGGGAGAGCACTGTCTACTAACCAATGGTTTGCTACCGCCTGGCTGCACCCAGGCAGCCCCTACTCAAATTGGTACAGACCCGCGAACTCCTAGCTGAGGCTGGCCGTGGTCGCAAGTGCATAACGTGATTCTCTCCTAAAACACAAGTGTATTGTTCTAACTCTTCACAGGCTGTGTGTGACAGACTTCAAGCAGATCCCAATAGGTCTCTGCAATCACACTTCTGAGCTTGACTTGCTCCCCTCTATATTGTGGCCCAGGCTATTGAGCCAAAGGCTCCGGGTGCGGTCCGTCAAACTAACTTCCATGCACAACTTGTGGATCAAACTATTGAGTAAAGGCTATAAGTAAGGCATCTAGAACAAAACCGATCCCTCGGAATGGGCAGCGGAGAACAACATCTGTGCTCTGGACACCATCGACAATACCCGCTCTTCTTCTTCTTATTATTATTATTGTTTTTCTCTCCGCCCTCAACTCTTTTTCTTCCCCGTCTATTAAGCAATAGAATGCCGCTGACATCGCAGCTGTTGCCATCGGTAAAAGTAGTTCATCCATCTTTTAACGTCCACACTCTGTGTCAGATCCGTCAACAGGCAGCAATAACACTAACGCTCACTCTTCACTCCCTTGGTATAGATGTATGCTGTGACTCCGAAACACGCATTCATGTTGTGACGAATTTTTGACCCTACTTCTGAATCTGAGTACAATGACTATGGTCTTCCGTCTCTGGTGATACTGTGTCTATGGCTCAAGGTATTTACGATGTTAGTATCCACCTCAGCAGTGAAGCTGAAATCAATCTATTCGATTGGATGCCGGTGAACAACCGCAGTTTGCGGTTAAATTTTGAACTTATATTGGGGTCAACTATCACCATCTGAAGACTAGGTGCCATCTCATCACCTCTGCGCATGCCCTATTGATTGCAGTTCGGAAGGGATGAAAGAAGATTTCTATTACAATCTTTCATCTCTTCTCCATGTAGCCAAAACTTCTGACATCGTGTGTGTCTGCAGCGGAATGGGAAGCGGCAACTGGCCGAATGAAAAGTGGAGTGGACACCACTGTTCTCATGACAGTTATGGTGGGAGAGTCGACAATCAGGAATCGGTTACGTAACAGCATGAAGCACGTGTACGGATGCTCTCGACCTAAAACAGGTACCGTGAGGAAAACCGTTCCAGTGACAAGCATCAGGGTAAACAATGTCATGGTCTATTTGGCCATAGCGTCGCCGACAGACTATGCTTTATGTTACGCAGTGGATACTAGGAATGTTTTCACGCAGCATGATTTGGCGGCGTCCGTATCCGGATTTGCCTGTCACTGTGACGTCCATGGGGAGAGTCACAGGACGCCTGCGCCTACAAAGGGGACCATGGGTGGCTTGCGCTGCACCACCCATAATTCCACCCACACACCCCATATCCAGTGTAAACCCGAAGGAATAAGATCGGGAGGCATGCGGATGGGAGCCACGTTTCATCAACGGGGCCGGCCCACACTCCTTCAACAAGCAGAACGGAAGCATTCCGGCCTAATTGGGAAATCATACACACCAGACGTACACGAGGCGGTGGCTGGACCGTAGCCCGTTCCACACAGGTTGCATGGAACCACTCTTTGAGCCTAGCACCGTCACGAGGACGGTGCACTCCGTCCCCTCCAGCGACGACCAACTGTCTCCTGGAGCCAGTATGGACGAGGTAGTGGGTAATAGACAGGTAGGCACCTTATCAACATTCACATCAGTTGCATCCACACCGGGGAGCTCAAGTAACATCTACTTCTGAAATGCAAGATCACTCATCATGCAGGCAAACGTACCACATACGCCGCCTTATTGGCCTGGATTAGTAAGTTGAATGGGAACATACTCATGATGCATTTATTCCGCATACAATAGTGCCTTCTCCGGCACCTGAGAGACCGCCCTTTTGAGCATTCCACGGAATTCGCATCGATCAAATTTGCCTTGGATTCGCAACACCTGAAATCAACATGAGTTTTTCTTAAACTCACCTTCTTCATGTTCTGGTTATGTTATTTCCGGTTTGCTCGATTGCCGTTTCCCTGCACTAAGTGAACCGTACAAAAGCGGTATAAGTATCCTCGTGGAATTCATTCGGTATACATATATACATAGATTGGCGTCATCTGTGTCCACTGGCAGTTCGAATACAACGTATGCACATGTGTTTCCACGGACTTCATTATTAACTGTCACAAACTGGACAGAGACACATTAGTCCGCATGAACAAGCATGTATGAACAAACATGTATGGGTTTCATTTGGAGGTCAGGCTAAGATTTACTTGCACAGGCATGAGAATAAGTACCCAGTACGTACTGTTGGTGTTCGCCTCTTACGACCTATTTGGCACGACAACTACCATAGTACTACAACAACTAAGTCCCACTGACCACTGTCAAACTTGCGGTTTTCCAAACAATGTTCGCACTGTGTTGCAAATATCCAAGATGTAGCATGATTGTCATCCAAGTACTCATCCGTTTGTACATACCGTTGTGTATCCTGTTGTGGCTATAAACTACTTGGTTACGATCTACTTTAGTACGCCTGGGGTGCAGCTATTCGGTGCTCTTAAAGTGAACAAATTTTCCCCATGCGCTGATTCTTTTCCGATGTAATTTACTAAGACACTTACGTACCATTTTCGTTGGCATTACCTTTTTCTTAGTCTACCCAGAAGATTGACCCCGTCTAAGACAACTTCTAGTAGGTGCCTCTTAGACAGATGCAATAATGCTACTGCATTGCACCAAGTCCGTACTTCATCATTCCACATAGCATTTGTACCCAAGCTATACTTACATTAGCAATGGAATAAGGATGACACACAAAGATGACAGATCGTGAGTAGGCAACAATGCAGGTTTGTAGGGAAATGGTGCGCTGGAGTCAACTTATTTTCATAAGCTCAGCTAAGATAAGGTTGTCAGATGAAGAACGGGAATTATAGCTCTAATCATTCTAACCGATTTAATGTGAAACCTAGCATAACACATCAACAGCAGCATGTTAATTGCTAGTCAATTACTTGCCGGGACTGTTCACTTTCCACAGATGTTCCAGAGCGATTGATATTTGAATGCATGATCCAACTTGTACATGTCTATCGCATTGCCAATTTGTCACCAAATCGAGGAAGCATTGCTTTCCCATACTGTATTAGGTAAAGGGTTCCTAGGCTATGGTAATGGTAAGGTACGGTAAAACAAGGTAACATGTTATAAGTAAGTCAGTCAGTCAGTGTAGCCCAACTGCGATGGAGAAGCATGGCGTATGCAACATCAAACCTCAGCATAGGGGCATTCGTATAGAGGCATTTGTGTTCGGATTACCAGTATGGCAAATATAGTACGCGCCTGCGTCTTTGCAGAAACTATGCGTGGTTGTCATTGCACTGCAACATTTGATGAATTAGTACATTATCAGTGCAAAAGTCCTCCCGTCCGATTCCATTCTGACTCACCTCGCTCCATAACGTTTGGCCGGTTTAACGTGTACCATCCTTTCTCATTTGCGTACCACCAAGTGCCACATGTCAGTCCGTGGTGCTCGGTCTAACAATCCACCTGTTCGGCATAACCCCATCGTGGCCTCGTTGATGACTGGCCAGACCAGCTGGGCTAAAACACACACGGCCACATGCACTACAGCTCCATGTTGGAGTAGCCGAAGAATTATAGTCCGACGACAGATGATGTTTGCGTGCTGCACGTTTAAAATCTCGATGCACCATCTGCCTTTCTTGCGATTGGGCAACTGTACAGGTGATGAGATCACGCCAGGTGCGGCAATTTGTTGCCAACTCCTCCCAAATATTTAGGTCAATACTTAATCTGGATAAACTAACCTTGATATTATCTTGGTAACGCAACTTGGGTTTGCCATCATTCCGGCAACCTGCGATCAGTTGCCCGTACAGCAATTGCTTCGGGATTCTCGTTGCATCCATACGGCGTACATGTCCAAGTCACCAGAGATGTCGCAACAGTAGCATGTAGTCTATGGTGTACACTTCGCTCCGGCGGACCACATCTGTGTCTGGCACATTGTCCCACCATTGTATGCGCAGAATCCGGCGAAGGCACTGTTGATTGAATCGTTCCAAAAACCGGATATCCTTTCTGTACAGTGTCCAAGTTTCCGATACATAGATAAGGACTGAGAGAACCATTGATTTGTACACCATCACCTTGGTTCTACCAGTGAGATGATGGTTCTTCCACACGCGATGTTCCAGTTTCCCAAAATCCGCACTTGCCTTCGCCACACGAGCGCGTCTGGTGATTCGCAGTCGCTGTAGTACTTCATCTACAATCCGTATTTCTGGTCCGCACACGGGCTGCACTCCCGGTGCCGGCTGAAATAGACATACAGTCTTGCCTGTGTTTATGCTGAGTCCAAACTTGGTCGCTGTGGAAGCAAAATAGTCGTCATGCATTGCAGTTCTTCTTCAGTATGTGCAAATAACGCGCAGTCATCTGCAAACAGCAGCATACGAATGGTTGTCTCACGCACTAGACTTCTTGATCCAAAGCGGCGGATGTTAAGCAAACCCCATCCATGCGGTGCTCTAGATGCACACCGTATTCGCATGTGTTGAATGCGCACGACATCACAGCCGTCAGGTAGGTATTGAACAGTGTGGGGGCCAAGACGCATCCTTGCTTCACACCGGAGATAACGGCAAAGTCATCTGTAGTCTGTCCACTTAGCTGCACCCTTGCTCGCATGCCAGTATGCAGGCATTCAATGAGACGAATAAACTTTGCAGGGCATCCAAACTTGGAGAGAATCAACCACAACGCCTCACGGTTCACCGTATCGAACGCTTTGGTGAAGTCGATGGACAATGAACACAACGGTTGATTGCATTTACGACATTTTTCCTGTAGTTGACGTGCTGCAAAAACCATGTCGATGGTGCTTCGGCCGGATCGGAATCCACATTGTTCCTCAGGTACATTCGGTTCTAGTACATATGTGACAAGGCGATTGAGTGGGATACGGGCAAAAATCTTGCCAACGCAACTAAGTAAGTTGATGCCACGATAATTGTCGGTGTGTTGTTTACTACCCTTTCCCTTGTACAATGGAATCACAACAGCATCCTTCAACTCTGCGGGCACTTGCTCTTCCATCCAGACAGCTTCCACCAAACGATGCAGGGCACGTATCATAACTGGTCCTCCGTTCTTCAATATTTCCGGTGGTATGCCATCCACACCAGCGCATTCCCATTCCGTAGTTGAGCAAGCGCTCTCTGTGTTTCGTACATTCCCGGTGACTCCTCCATTTTCGATACCACGCTATGGTGTTGCAGCCCGTGTTGTGTGTCCCAGTCCACCTCTGATCGATTGTTCAGGAGCGTATCAAAGTGTCTGTGCCACATTTGCAAGATGTCATCAGATTGTGTGTATACGGCGCCAGTCTCAGAGTCTTTCAAAGTCTTCATTTGCTGCACAGTGAGCCCGTACACTGCCTTCAAGGAGTCGTAGAATTCTTTTTGTTGACGGTGTTCAGCGTAGGACTCCATCTGCGCAGTTTGTACTGTCCCCCACGCATTTTGCACCTGACGCAGCTCTCCAGTTTGCTGTCTTCGAATGTGGCGAAAAGCATAACTCTTCATGGTGTTGTTAGGGTCAACCTCGGATGCGATGAACGCTGCGTTTTTTGCTCGTACTAATGGCCCAATCGTCAAACTGTTTTCGTCGAACCAGTCGGGCCGTTTACAGTTTGTACACCCAATCGTCTCACTGTCTGCACTGCCTGGCGTTCAAACCAGCCGCGAAAACCAAATGTTAAACCCCGGTATACGGTGTGTATTCGATGGGAAGACTGTTCTAATTACAGATCTACCATATGTCCAATTATGGATACAACCACTTTGAATGTTCATCCTGTTGGACTCCACCAACGTGAACGCTTTCCACCTGACTGATTCGTCATATTCGAAAGTTTGTTCACACCAAGGCACGGTCCTCGTTCACTCAATCGTCGTTCACGCGAGTTTGCCATCCACTCACATCGCACCTGTGTCCTACATTTGTCCGACTCTTTGTACGTCCCGCGTGAAACCCGTTCGCGCTGTGGGCACCGCCTAGTGTCGAGAAGTCGTGCGAAAATGTTCACTCCGTTTGGTCGCCTAACGCTTGTCTTTTTCTTTCATTTTGACCACTGACCATTCCACCTGGCAGTTTGAATTCTTGATCATTCGTCTGTATTTCTATTTCGGTGACCTGTTAACAAGGTTCACCGCACCTACATAAATGCACATATCACAACCGATTAACTACGCTTACCTGCTACCCACAAACCATAGGTTTTCATGATACAACCAGTCCTTGACCTCTGATGCTCCTAATCGCACTCTCTTACCGTTGCTCATTTTTGACTACTGAATCTGCATCATTTTCCACTTATCCCATACTTTTTTCAAGGTCGATGTGTATCGAGCATGTTTCCAGATACCTCAATTGGCTCGAGAGCATGTCTTCGATTGCTGAGCTTGCCAATTCCTCTTCTGTACCACCTCGCGATCACATGCACACGACAACTCACCACCGAATTGCACCATGCGCTCCGACTCCCCATACTTCCAACCGACCAGTTCTTGTAAGTTTGTCATCTATTATAAATGTATCACTTTCACAATCACCAACCTCTCCATTGTCAGTTGCTTGCAATGTTTACAAATCACACGTTCTGTTTAACGCACCAGGGTAACTACGCACACCCACACACGTACACTTGCATCGTCAGGCTAGTGTATGTTCTTTTCATATGTTGCGTTAATTTGCACACCCCTTATGTTTGCACAGTGTGCAACTTCCCGGTGACCGTAAGCACGCACGTGCCCTGCAAAATCTCCTATCGCCAAATGTCACCAACCAATTTCCCTCATCCGAGACGCATGAAATTCCCCTGTTCACTATTCTCACTTGTCCAAGTTTCATATTTCAACGAGCGTCCTCATTTTCTCTCTCGCTTTTTATTATTGGTATGTGGAAACCCCACCTAGTCCACCGTACTTTTGTGCTCCGATCATAACTGAATACTCTAATCCAGGTGTGTTGGAAGCACGATGAATGTTTCAGCACTTTGGTCACACAGCCCACTCTACAGTCGATATTGACTTCTTACTGAATCTTTGTGGTTGCTCTTGGTTAAATCCCTTCTCGGTGACATCGTACTGCTCAGAACTAGTTTTTCTGTCCGGTACGTGACCTTGGATTTGCATTTTATTCAGGCCACCTTTCCTTCTCACCTCGGATTGAGCGGTTCTGGTTCATGGAATGTCCATTTCGGCTCGTATATTGTCTGTTTTCATCGTTCGCGGTGCACACTGGCTGTCTAAAGCCGTCGAACCATCGTACTTCCAAATAGAACCAATGGACTGCAGAGACTGCTGTATCACTCATCCTGATTTCTCAGCTTAAGCTCTTGAAGGGACCACATTTGTTTCACTGAGGCAGATGAACCAAAAGAGATAACTTTCACGTCAGGTCGTTTTTTCTATTCGCAGTCCAGCTGAGAGATACGCAAACACGATGCACCTCGTGGTCTATTCTTCGCATACATCGGCATTGGATTAACCGAATTGCTACAGCCGCGAATTGCCTGCTCCTTGCTTGCATAAGGTTGATTAGCACTATAAGTACCACTTTTGAAGGACCCCCTGCTAATGCTCTGCACTTATCGGTGTTACTCCGCCAGTGAGTTAACCGAGTGACCCAGCAATGATTGTCATAAAGCAGGTAGTGATCGCTCCGTAACTCTACTTACAGCGACACTTTCAGTTTGCACGCGATCGAGTACGTGTTTTAATGTGGTTTATCCGCAGAAGTAGCAAAATGCACACTCCTGCGCTCGTGGTCCGTCCGGCGAAGACGAACCAATTTGTTCTCCCTCGTATAAAATTCAGAATGTGGATCCCGTTCCAATCAGATGAAGACTTCGTCTTTGTCGTTGCATAGACTGCCCTGTTCCGTTGGAAGTCGCATAAACGACATTACCGCAACAACTGCTTGTTGGTCCGACGCTGATTTCTTAGACACGTCACATCTATTGTGATTATCCTTACTGCATCCCTCTCTTCTTGAAGTGAACTCTCCCCGTCAGCAGTGACACTCACATCTATCTGATACGTAGCACCGTCAATAACCGTGCCTCATTTCAACCATGTATAACCTAACTTCTTACCACAGCACCTCATGGACTGGCCAGTTAGTGCCGTGCTTTACTACGCACTATGTGTCAAGGATCCTTCTTGGCAGCGCGACATGTATCCTGTGAAGCGGATTTCTCTCACGCATTTGCATCTAACCTACATCATGTAAACCATGTGATGAGAGTGAGTCCAACGAGGTTTGGAAACAATCGATTGGTTTCGGAAGGTTTCAAAACACAACTCGGTTGTTTTAGGGCCTTACAACAACCGATATGTGTTGAAACCTTACGAAATTATCAATTACCAGCCACTTCCAACTTTATTCAGTGGTATTGAATCGGTTGGTTTGTTGGTCAACGCTCCGCTTTCGACACAAAAGCTTTGCCAAGATAGGTAAATCAGCATGCACTTGGAGCGGCATTTTATAGCGAACAGAAACGATAACCGCGATACCATAGACAGGAGGCAAGGGAGTACTGCAGTCACAAGTCGAGATGCCACCTCAAGTGGTTCACGTATTCTATTGTGCTGACCATAGAAAGTCAAGTTACACTTCAAAACCTGGTCCACTCTTCTACGTTCTTCACACTGGCCGGATTAAGATAGCTCGCCACGCACTTGAGAGTTTTACCCCTCCCGCTGCTGGGTTTTGCAATTTCCAACGCCTAAGCAATCGCAAATCGCTCCTAATGACCTCGACGTTACCCAAATGGAGTTGGTGCTCAGTATCGAACGCATGCACCGCCACGGCCGTCTTATAGTTTTCCGAAACATTTACCAAATATCTTGTCTTCTAGGAAGAGCACAGTTTCGCCAATGATGTCGCCTACTCCGTAGTGAAACGTCTGCAAATAAACCGACCAGCTCGGCGAGGACCCAAATGACTTTTTGACCCATGGAGTAACTCTTTTCTAGTTGACAGCGTTTCATTCCTGTTCTATTATCACTGTGGTGAAACCCGCTGGTCGTTTCCTAAACTGAGCGCAGCACTTCATCACCTGGTGCGCACTGTCAAACCCAATGTGTCCAGAACTTGGCTTCATCAGTGACCACTCCACATGCCTACCAGTTAATGGTAAACAATTCCATTAAAACATCGAGACTCATTGTAAGCTTGTATGTGTTTCTGGTCATTCCTCCTTAGGTTTATACAATTGGACACACTATTCTGCAGTCAATTTTGATTGGACGCTATTCATCATCACCACTTGGGTTCCGATTGCAGTTTTCGTGTGCCTCAACGGGTCTTAGATCACAGTTTAGGCAATTTCTAACGTCTAAACAAATCACTGCCGGTCTCTAAAGTTTTTGGCTTCCCATTGGCTTTTCGAACACTACCACTTAAACGTCCATCTCATTTGAACGCGACCAACAGCTCCACTTAAGTACACCGGCAGCGAACATGCGCATTCCCATTGTATCGGCCGCTTTTTGTTCTCAGCGGTGCTTCGGTAACTAATAGCGTCGTTCATCATTACATCGGGCTTCCTAAGTGCTGCAGTGCAACTTGATTTTCCCTCACTTCATTTTCTCTCCTTCAGGTTTGAAATTCATCGCCGTCTTTGTGCTCAGCATCTACCATCTTCCATCCCAATCTCCCTGCATGATCTTTTAACGAGCGCCCCACCACACTCCTCCTGTAGCAACGCTCCTCAGCCTTCCCTTTATCTCGCCGTTCAGTCTGGTGGCTTTGAGTCCGATGCATCTGCACGGGCGGTGCTGAATTTTTTGCACGAATTCGGGTTCTTGCTGCATTTCAGTGATCCTTCCCTTAGCCACTTGGTATTCCTCTCACCCTCATGGCTTGTGCAGCTATTACTTCGCATCTTCACTATGCTACATCACACCAGACCATGCACCACCTCTGTGGTTCGTCGCTGTCGCATGTTGTCTGGCAAATCTGTGGTATCACGCATGCCGTCGGGATGCACCGCATTTAACTCAGGTTAGTAAACCATTCCTCGTGGGGTTAATCTCTTGTCTTGGTTGCATTCCACCTGGTGCGTTATACGGTATCGTTGTAGCCGATTTCTGTTTGCATCGGTAGTCTAATACTGTGCCTTAGCATTCACATAATTACTTGACATCACATTTTTTGCATTTCCTCTTTTCCAATACAGTACACTTCAATCATTTCAATACGCATAGGTAGTGCACAATCGTCATCGATTTCACCAACCGCGATGCATGAATATGTCATACTGATTCTCCACATCCATAAAACTGTAGTAAGCCTACGAATGAAGAATGCACCGAGGGGAGAGTAAAAGTGATGTCAAGACAAAACACATAATGCAAACACTCCACATCTTGCCAACTTTCCCCCCTCATAATCAATCGGCCATACCCGAGTAATAAGTTAGCACGTTGCTCACTTTACCATATGTAATCAGGCTGGGCCAATCACGCTGATTGCGATTAATGATTTGTGAGATCTCCAGCCGAATAGAGAGTGGACTACCTAGATCCGAATTTCGAGGGTGAGATGAACAGTGATTTCATTGTCCCTGGAATACTTCATCCTACATCCTCCACTAAACAACAACGCCCTCAGTAAGCAGGGTTGTGGCACACTTGGCTGGTGTCTGGGTTAGTGCAACACCTTGCGTTCTGCAACAGCGCGTTCTATAGGGCTAAATTGTGTAAGCTGAATTCACCACAGGTAGATTCAGTTAGACGGCTATCACGCATCGGGAAAAACTGAATGGCTAGTGCGTCTTTTCGAGAATCATTGGCAAGGCACATTCCGCATGAAAAGTTGGAGGTGTCATTTCGGTCTTCTCCGTCTGCCTTAACCCACTGGTCCTAACCACTGACAGACGGAATGCACATTACTGTTGAGTACGTGGCGGCCCTCCAGTGGTTTCCCGTACTTGTGCTGGATTGATGATGATTTTAACTTACTGCACCGTAATTGTTGGTCATTGTCATTGCCTAACGCTCATTCGCGCACCTCATTTTTGTGGATGCGAATAATGCTCGGTCAAATGCGGCGGTCAAAAACCTGATTACGCCTCAGGTTTCCAGACCTGTGGAGCAGTGTCCCACTGCCGTAGAGGAACGAGAACTTCCCTCACTGTGATCATGTGCACACAGTGTTTGGGACTGATGGCAGTCTGATTTTGATTTCAACATTGTTGCACATGAAGACCGCTGTAATTTTTTAAACAGTCGACCAAACTTCAGCAATCACGCGTTTGTCGTTCTAACGCAGATGCCACGATTAATGAATTGATCAGCTATCCACTTAGGGGGATCGGTCATGGTTGTGCCGCCGTTACCCATAGCTCAGTGGCTTGGGTTTCTGGTTCGCAAGAGATCACATGAATTCGAGTCCGGTAGTGTTCGGCGGATGCGCGCTGTTAGTGGGTCCCGATAGGATGGGACGAACGTTCAGAGTTATTTCACGGATATGATGACTCCGTACTTGAGTTTGGCTGCGACGTTCTATTCCCGCCATACCGATTCGAAGAGATAGGTGAATATTTTTCTGTTGCAGACGCGATTCGAGTCCCAAGACATCGACACTTGTGACTCGGATCGGTTTGCCATTCCAGTTTTCGATGGAACCTATTAGTTAACTGGCCAAGGTGACCCAAAAGTATTGATCATCTGGACTACTCCTAAAGTGCGCCAGCCAGCTTGCGTTTTTCCTCGCATATATGGACACAAGTGCTGTCTTTGACTGTCTCACTGGCATATGGCTTCCTGAAGCTATCGATGCGGTCTAGTCATAGGAGTTTGCTGATGTTATCCGCCTCTGTTGCGTCCTCAACTTTTCGAAACTTTGAGTTGTTGAACTTCGGTGTACGCTCCTTGGCTTTTTTTGGCTCGTACCTGTTGTCCCATCTGATCGCATTGTACTTGGTACCAACAAGAACTCCTTTTCGAACTCATCAACCTTTTGGCCACCATCCGGTGTACGATATGGTGAGGACTGACATTGATGCAAACAGAAGTCCACGCATTTCTCATGGCACTGGAAACCCTATTTTTTCGGAGCTCGTTGTCCCCAGAGTAATTGGATAAACGCCTAAGAAATCCGTAGTGTATTTGTGTAATAACGTTGCCATCGATCGGTAATAGATTCGTCGCTCCTTGTTCTGGATTGGACGCCAGTAACCAATAATGCTTAGTTCGGTGACGCGACGCATTCAAGCTTCGCTCGTAGATGAGCCTAGTCATCGCATAAATTACCCTCGCGAACCGTACCGGCAATAGGATAGACGGACGATTGATTGCAACACCCCCGGAAAACTTAGCTGCGATTAGCCGCACACACTCCCTGACTGACTGACGCACACCCCCGAGTCCGGCGCGCAAGAGCAAAAAACAGTCAGTCTTTACGTTTAAACAAAGGCGAGTACATATCAGGACGCCGTTTTGATTGTGGAGAGAATAACTCACTGCGCCGAGGTGTGAGATTCGAAGAAAACCTCTCCAGGTCCATACCCACTGTGTTCGCCTTGAATCTACCGCGTTAGGCGCAGGAAATTCATCCGGCGCCGCGTGGCCTGGTGACGCTGGCGGTGGGGTTTAAATTTGGCGGAGTTGCTTGGCCCTCCCGCAACAACTGGTTGAAGAGTTTGACACGTAACACCTACGATTTGATTCGTGTCTGCGCTTCCTACCTCTGTTTTTACTTCTCTTTGTTGTCCCAGCTCGCGCGAACTTGCTCATAGTTGTTTAGCAGCGATGTATCAGAGCGAGATACTGCTGTACTTCTCTCTCCATGCGAGTCTTCAGTGTGCAGGAGTCTTGACACGCTTACCTGACCGTCAATTTCTCCGTTGCCAATCTAGGGAGCTGTATTCCTCGCATCATAGCAACCGTCGAGAAAAATCGACAAGGGGCTAAGTTAGTGTCATAGCTGACTAACATATTCCGAAACGGGTAGCAGTTAGGGTTATGACTGCTCCAAATGGTACTTCTGACGCTGTTGTCATTTCGGGTTCTTCACCGGCAGCTACTGGTTCAGGCTACGTGTCACTTTTTGCGCGTTATACCTGAAGACGGTGCTGTTCGAGAGCATTCGACGATCGGCGTGCAGTTGTACTTAACGATCATCATTTGTTGCACGCCTTAAATTACACCCAAACTGCCCATCTACCTGAGCCCCAGAGTATCCTGCGGACCGATCATCCGTGTAACTTCAGGCATGTCTGAGTTGGCAGCACCGCGTAGTTTGGTACTGAGCTCGTAACAGAATGCGCCTTACGAAACATGAGAAGTGCATGTGATTGCGGTGTGTATAGCATCCACAGACAGCCACTATCTAGTGTTACTCCGTGAGTTATTTTTAGCGTTGTCAATTAAATCGCACGCAAACGACTGTTCATGGAAATCCAGCCGACTAGTTAGAATTTAGCATGAGGTCTGCGAACAATGCCCACTCTGCCCTTACCCGGGATCGCTGCATAATTACCTTAAAGGAACGAAACGTTTTTGTGCATTTGGCTACTTAATAGTATGTGCTGTCCACTGCGTTTATACTTGCAATCTGTCTACGTATCTGCAGTTAGCAGTTAACGCCCTCAGAGAGACAGGGTAGCGTAGTCTGATAAGCGGTCTCTAAGAGATGAGCAATGGCTACCCTAATGTCGCAGTGTCAATGCTGCGGTAGGAATGTTTCTTTCGTTACTTATACTAGGAACACTAAAAACGCTATTGGTACCAGGGATCGGGAGTGATGTAAAGGTGGCGAGTAGAAAAAAGTAAAATATCGTCAGTGCAATTAATGCCTCTTTCTAAGCCTTCATCTCGGAAGCCTGATCGTAAAACAGTCTATATGTGGTAACGGTCCATTAGGTGGACCTGGAGATCGAACTCACGAGGCTTACGTTGACGACGCCAGATTCCAGCCCGTCCACTCCTCCCACGCTCAGCTTTGTGGAGAGCGCATTGGTTTGTTAGCCAAAGCATATTGACGCAGCGTTCGTGCACGAGGGTACGCTATTTAGATGGCTACTGTGCTACAGCCTATCAGTAGAGGGGCATTCAAGTGTTAATCTCGTTTCCCAACTGTCTACGGCGTCTCAGTCATATTTGGGTTGTTTGGTTGCAAGTCCATGTTTCTCTTCCAGTTAGAAGCTACGACCGCAACATACTCACGTTACTGGCCCCCTTTCTTTGAGTACATTACACCAAACGCTTACATTTGGTGGCTTGCTGAGATTGTCTTGGTGGGAGCTTGGTGGACCCACCTTTTCTCATTTCAAGGATTGCTATTGGTTGCTGCGTGTAGCCACTGCTGTTGAGCTACACAGAATTATGTCGTGCGGTATTATATCTTTTACATTTGCAGTTTCAATCACTCACTGCTAACCGAAGTCCTAAGATAAACCCTTAGTTGCTTATCGGACACGCTTTGTTCATGAGCCCGAGTCACTGCGTTCTCTCTCGTTGAGCGACTGCGAGTATTATGCTCCTATACTAACTTGTCGCTCGTAAATTTTAATTATTAATATTATCGATGTGTGTATGGATTCTGGGATATATCGCGGGTAGTGTATCGACCCAAGCACGGACGGTTATCTTCGGGAAAGCACACTGCTGATGAGTCTGACAGGATTAAAGGTGGTCCAGCTATCCTTTCAAATTGTGTATTGGTTGTCTAATTGAGCATGCGGCCGTGAAAATTCTCCATCGAAAGTCGCTTCATCGTTTGTGTCTACATCAATAAACTTGAAGTTATGGGTTCTCTTGATCTCTCTCCGAAAGATGAGCCAATACTTCGGTTACTTGCGTTTTTTATTCTTTCTGTGACGGTCATTGAGCTTCCAGTACACCGTCATATGAGGCGGGATGGAATTTTGCATACCAGTTATTTTTACTTCTAAGATCCAACAAATGTGTTCCTCGATCGTTGACCAAGCACTTTCCCATACGTCTTTCATTCATGTGCACGAGGTCACCGGTAGTCTTCGGTGTCACCTGCTTCCGCAT